TGCACAGGCCCGGGCAGTGTTTGGTTCTGTTTTACCAAACAGGGTCGCTGTGAGTCGCAGCCGATGCAGCAGCACCTAACACCGACCACAACAGCAGTGCTTTCATCTCAGCACATGCACAGAGTACACCATGTGGCAGGTGTGGGCAGCTACAGAGGGAAGCGTTTCTTCTCACCCCATCCAACAGCCGCGTAATACCCCGCCCCACAAGTGACTACTGTTCTCAGTTTTCTTATGTCTCCTTCTTGAGATAGTTTATGCATTTACAAACCAATATGAATATGTTCCTTTTTCACTGTCTATGTCAATGCTAGCAGACTGTTCCTCACTGTTTCCTTTCTGTCCTCAACAATACAGCTTCAAGGATACTTGGCGTCACAACATAAAGAGCTTCCCTGTCCTTTTAGGGCTGTGTGATGTCTCTCTGCCCATAGTGTCCTCAAGCCTTGAATATCCACTGTGGAGTAGCTTGCTCCCAGGTATCAGAAGGCAGCTGTGTAAACACCGCCGTGTCTTCCAGACTGGTTCCAGCAGCATTTGTGTGTGACTCGGAGTCCCGTGAGATTTCCTGACAGTCTGGCAGCAGAATGAGGCAGTTTCTTGTTCTCAGTCCTTCCCTCGTTGCTTCAGAGCTCACCAGCTCGGCCCAGTTCCCACTGACCTTGTGGAAAGGGTGTCCTGAGTCCAGCCTTGACCTGGTCTCTGGCCCTGCAGTCCCTCTCCCTCAGGCCCCTCCAACAGGCCAGTGGGCACCGCTCCAACACTCGTTACTGTCGGTCTTGAGTTATTCTAATGGGTATGCAGTGGTCTCTCCTTGGGGTTTTCATTCATGCTTCCCCAGGGGCTACTGACGTTGAGTGGCTTTTCGTGTGCTCACTGGCATTGTGTATCTGAAAGGGAGACTTCATTCAGGTCTGCTGCCCATCTTGTCAACTGGAGTGCTGGATTGTTATTGGGTTGTAAGAGTTATTTATGTCTTCGCAATACAATTCCTTTGTCAGTTCAAATTGGAAA